AGATGTGAGGCGACCGAGCCCTGGTGAGCCCGGGGGTGGGGGGTGGGGGGAGGCAACTGCTAGGGCAGACCAGGCCCCGGGCGGCGACCTCTAGCCGGCAGGGCCACCGCAGGGCGGCCCCTGGCTCTGGGAGCAGGTCTGTCTCCCTCGGGCCTGGCGGCTCAGCTTGGTCACCCACCGGTCTGTGCCTCGCCCTCAGACAGGCAGCAGGGCACAGTGGAGGGGTGCCACCGTCATTCTGGGCAGAGAGCAGAAGTCCCCAAGGAGCAGGAGACCCTGGGACGGGAATGCAGGCCCTGTGGCGCTGCCCCTTGCCAGTCTGGTTCGGTAGGCAACCTTGCAGGGTGACTCCTGCCTGTCATCCCAGCAACTCCGGGAGGCCAAGAGGGGAGGATTGCTTGAGGTCAGCCTGAGCCACACAGCAAGGCCTTGTCTCTACAAAAAATAAAAATGAAAATAAAAAGCTGGGTATGGTGGCACTCATCTGTACTCCCAGTAACTAGGGAGGCTGAGGCAGAAGGATCGTCTGAGCCCAGAAGTCCAGGCTGCAGTGAGCTGTGATGGCGCTGCTGCACTCCAGCCGGGGCAACAGAGTGAGACCCCAACTCAAAACAAAACAAAAAGGACTAAGCCATATCTCCACCAGCACACACAAGCACACCATGCCCATGCATGGTGCAAGGGCTGTTCGTGCTGTCCCTCTAATGAGCCCCTTCCAGAAGTTTCTCCATTGTTCTCCATGCTGGGTCCCCATGCAGCTGGAAGCAGTATCTCTTAGCAGTTGAAGGCCTGGAGCCTTGCTCTGACCAGCTGGCCCCTACCCTGACCAGCCTGGCAGCCTCTGAGCTCAAACATGCCCCAACTCTCAAAGCCTGGGCTCTGCCCCGTGTTCTTAATCAGCTGCTACAGGGAGTAAAGTGGCCGCTAAGGGCCAGGCAGTAGGGAGGGCACGCTGCCAGCCACGTCACCCCCAAAGGCCCACCAGTTCCTTAAACTCAACTGTATTACCTTGACTCCAAGCCAGCTCTCCCAGTTCATTCATTCATTCTTTTTTTGAGTCAGAAACTCACTGTCTCCCAGGCTGGAGTGCAGTGGTACACTCATGGCCACCACTGCTTCAACCAGCTCAGGTGATCCTTCCGCCTCAGCCTTCCAAGAAGCTGGGACGACAGGCACGAGTCACCATGCCCAGCTATTTTAAAAATTTTTTGGAGACAAGTTCTCGCTATGTTACCCAGACTGGTCTTGAATTCCTGGGCTCAAGCGACCCTTCCCGCCTCAGCCTCCCAGAGTGCTGGGATTACAGGTGCGAGCCACCATGCCCGGCCGTTTTTATTCTTGTATTTTACTAAAAAATACTTATCAAATACCAAGCCATGTGCAATGTACTGGGGACGTCCTGGTGGGAGAGAGAGAGAGTTGTGTGGTCTGACGTGACTGAGCTCACAGGCCGGTGACAGGAGACAGATCACAAGTTGTACACAGGTAGCAGATCATGACAAAGGCTGCGAAGGATCCAGAGGAAACACCAGGACAGCGGTTAGGGTTAGGGTCAGATGCTTGGGACTTGCCTGGAGGCTTGTCAGGAGGGATTGCTGGGCCCCCAGACCTTCTGATTCTGCGGCAAAGTGCAGGGATTCACATCTTCAACATGTTCTCAGGACTCAGAGACTGCTGGTCTGGGCACCACTTTGAGGACCACCCTACGAGGGCCGGCTGGGAGGCAGGGCAGGACTCCAGGAAGGCTTCTCTGAGGAAGTGGTGTCTGGGCAGGAGGGGAGTGAGGAGGTGCTGGCTTTGTGATGGCTGGAAAAGTTGGGGAGGGGGGCAGGTGCTTGGGCTTTGAATCAGGGAAAGACATGATCTAATATAAAAGTCAACTGTGGCCGGGCTCGGTGGCTCAGCCTGTCATCCCGCGCCTTGGAAGGCTGAGGTGAGTGGATTGCCTGAGCCTGTGGGTTTGAGACCCGCCTGGGCA